CACAGACGAGTCATGCTTATTGTATAGAGCGACAAAATCACTTTCAACAAGCCAAAGCTTAATATTTCCATCGATCCCGTAAACAGTGAACGTTTCCGCGGCGATCGCAACGAAAGCACCACACATTTCATTTCTGTTTTAAAAGCCATAAAGTAGGAGTGGATTATCTCATACTTTTTCATTCTCATTCCTTGACGCAAGGGAAACTCTAGAAATCACAACATTGTTGAACTTCAAGGTAGAATCCGGCACACGGCGAATGTCGCGCAAAGTTTGCCAGTTGTTTTGCTGAGACGTCATGCGATGTAAATTGGCCACCTAGGTCTTTCCACCTAGCTGTACTGGTTTGCAAACTAGAACTAGTACAGCTGATTGAACAGTGATGAAGACATGTTACGTACTGCTGACATCATGGCGACGCCAATGGGTTAAAAAACCACTCTCTACCCTAACAGTAGTTCAACAGGTAGAAAATGACAAGTAAAAATTTCAGCGATGTTCACAGTTGCAAAGCTTCTGCGAAAAGAATAGAATGAGAAACAAGCCAAACATAAACGTGTTTCTTTCACGTTTAACAAAAAGCGAACAGAAGAATTTTTTCCAGAAGTTTTCTACACAATATATGCGGTGAGTGAGATCGCAAGGGCATGACGAGGTGTGATGTTTGGGGTCACACCACGGAAGGAAGGCTCACCTGCCACCAAGGTTTCCATGTAATTCCTACAGACAAGTGACCGTAGTCTACGACAGTGGAGGAAATTCGTCGCTGCCTTCACAGCTTTCTACATAACATGTGCTCTAAACATGGAACATGTCACAAAAAATGGGGCGAGGTGTGATGTTTGGGGCCTTACTACGGAAGGAACGCTCATCTTCGACCAAGGTTTTCATGCAGTTCCTACAGAAGAGTCACCGTAGTCTACGCTGGTGAAGGAATTCCTCGCTATCTTCACAGCTTTCTGCAAAACATCTCCTCTGAAAATGGAAAATGTCACATAATAGGCCCACTATGCCTGCTGAGAACTGTTCAAAGATTCCACTTGATATACAGAGGATGGGATATTGAGAGCAGAGGGAACACGTAAAGCCAGTAAGCGCTTAAAACGAAATGAAAGAATTAAGAATTCGGAAATTCATCTAATCTCACAATGTAGTGGATGAGATTGAGTACGTGGCGCATTCTGGGGTAAGTTTTGAGGCCCTTCTTTGTGTGTAGCGGTCAGCCCGCATAAGCGGGATTATATACACATCACATGCGAGCAACTACTTTTTGAGATGAAAATCGAGTGCATGGCGCAATCCAGTGTAGTGCCGCTAGAAAACTTTAGGACGGATTCTTATAGATCGACGAGCTGAGTTCAAGGCTGTTTTCAGATTTTGAAAATCTTAATTTTAAACCGATTTATAACGAAAAAACGAAAAAAACGCGAAATCGTCTTTGGCGCCAATTGGCGCCAAATGACACCAGCATCAAAAATGAATGTCATATTCGTAATCAGGGCATCGAATTACCCCAATAGGCAAAGTTTCGACGAAAAATGAAACTTTGAGATTTTGGGGCAGTAATCGTGGAATGAGTGCCCAATCGGCAATAGGGGAAGGCTGAAAACGGTGCTCGCGTTCCTTCGAGTCGAGGGCCAGGGTCGGATGGAGGATTACCTGAGGCGGAACTATCTGGGTACAAGTTGATTGAATGTGGTAATTTATCCTCACTTAACGGAAACCCTTTTAAGATAGAACGCCGACGTGGGCATCATTCTCGAATCAGGGTGCCATAATGGACACCACCATGATTAGTGAGAGGTGGCACTTGCGTTTGAAAACGGAGTTTCTTCACAGAAACGCTAACGCGAGAGCAGACTGTTTGGTGGACCTTCTTATTAAGGCCGTGGAAGAGATGTCGAAGTCTGATGAAATCAAGGTATATCACACAATTTAATAACTTAACTTAATAAGGCATCACTTTCTTAGGGCTCGTCGTCGGATGCCACCGCCAGGCCATGAAACTTTTTCTTCCATTTCCTGATAGAATCTGCCTACTGAGCACAGACAAATGGCAAGTACTTACAAGGCAACCTGAGGGACCCTACATGTACATTACCCATGTACAGCGGCGTGGCGACTGCGAATGCAGTGACGTTGCAGAGGGGAACGTCCACTGCCCCCTCTGCGATGTCTGCCCGTATGCATGGTCCTGCTCCTGCACGGACAATCGTGCAGGAATTAGTTGTATGCATCGCCACGCCGTGATGCTTCACTGTCAGCCTCCCAATAGGGCGGCATTTAGAATCACTGCGGAACAGGCAACTGAGGAAGTGGTGGTACCTGAGGATACCCCCGGACCAAGTACTGCACCATCCTCGGTGGAAATAAGCGCCGCTCAGGAAAGAAGGGAGCAAAGAGATCAATTAAGAAGCTCTATCAATATGGTGAGCAGAGAGGAATTGCAATCATACTTGATAAAAAACGAAATTTTCAGAAAGTATCTGTGCTTCAAACTAATGTGAATGCATTAGTCAACACAGATACCGAGGAGGCAAAAGAAATGCTTTTGGCGATCGAGGACTTGGTAGATGAAGCCTCGAAAATTTATCTGACACCTTTGACAGGGATAGCCGTGCGACCAGAGCAAGCGAAACATGGAGGGAAACCGAAGCAATCAAAAGTACAGCTCTACACAGTGAGTTTTTCCAATTCATGGTCATTGCATCCAATTTTCATAAACAAGTTGCAGCGTAAGCAAAGCCGTGTTGCGAAAAGCGGTCCATCACATGACGGTTCTGGCAATGATGGCGAAGAGTCTCGAGAATAACATAGTAATGAATAATGCACAATGAATAATAAAGTGTTGTCAATCTCTCAATGTACTATTGTGTTCAACATAGAAAGTCAAGCTATGAGATCGACATGTACGGAGAGAAATAAGTTTTACTAATTCATGGAACAGTTATGGATGCCGGTACAAACTGAAATGAACACAACTCACAGAAAGTTTGGTTACAATTCACTTCACACCGACATACCACTCAACATATTTGGGGCACACAACGAAACTTACCTGAATGAA